ACATGCTGATAGTACAAAGAGGAAAGCTGGAGTGACTGTATTAATATCAAAGTAGATTTCACGGCAGAGATTTCACAAAAGACAACATAGGAAGGTAATTTCATAATGATAAAGGGGTCACTTCATTAGAAAGACCGAACAGTCTTATCCACTTATGCACCTATTAACAGAGCTTAAGATGAATGAAGGGAAAACTAGTAGAAAATAGAGAAAAATCCACAATTACAGTTAGAGATTTTAATAACCTTCCTTGAATAATTGACAGAAAAAAATAAACCAGGAAAATCTGTAGGATATTGTGGATTTGAACATCGTTAACCAACTTGACCTGCTTAATCTTAATAGAACATTCCACCCCCAAACAAGAGAATACACATTCTTTTCAAATTCACTCAGATCATTTGCCAAGATAGACCATACTCTGGTGAAATGTTCATACTGGTGAATTTAGGGCAGTAGGTACATGCATGTTTGTTATTATAGAGGAGGAAACACTTAACGTTTTTCCTCTATGGTCCTAGCTTTCTCAGCTGGGGCCCTGCAAGTTAGACGGACAAAAGATTAACAAGAGGAAAACAGTTTATTAACACGTGTCACATATACACGTAGGAGAATTAGGTGATGAGTAACTCAAAGGGATGGTTAGTACTTGGGACAGCATTTTAATAAAGAACAATACATTTGTAGAGAAGTGACAAGAAACAGGAAAAGGGGTTTTAGGGTTCCAAGGGTGGCAAACTGTGGGAAGGTCAATAAATGGGGGAAGGTAACGGAGTAAGGCTTGTATGTGTGGGTCCCTCTCAGAGCCCACTTTCTGTCTTCTTTGTGGCCGTAAAACTTCCCTCTGGAAAGGAGATTTATGGCAGCCCTCATTCTTCAGAGGTTTCTGCTTTTAGTCAGATAAGGGAGGGTCAGGGAAGGCTTTCTTTCTGCATCTGCTAATTCTCATTTGCCTTTAGCTCTAAAGAATCCTTACGCCAAAGTGATGAATTTTGAGGTGGACTATTTCAATTTCCTATATTATATGTATTAATATGTGTATTTTTCTAGATATTGTTGGTGTCACGATACCATGTACACATACACACCGTATGCGGGGAGAGCTGATGGCTACTCTGAAGCTTTATTAAGTTACACAGTCTTATATAAGCAAAGAAGGATGACAAGGGAAATGGTTAACAGGCAGCGTCTGGCTCAAGGTCAGAAGACCCTTTATGTTTTGGCAAATCATGTTCGTGTTGGCACCAGCGAGCCTTACAGCTTATCAGGGCGGAATGTATGAGAAACGGCTGCTTCACGACATTCTTCTTGGACTCAGGTGGCTGTGCCTGTCTTAGGTTGCCCCCCTCTGGGGATCTTACCCGTCCTTGGTTAACCAGCATTCTCACCTCTGAGTCTGCAGCTTTTTATAACTTGTTTACCATTCCGGCCCAAGGCTTGTTCCTTTGTCCCCCCAGTCAGGGGCCTACAGATATTTGAAATATGTTTTAACTTAAAACATTGTAAAAATGGCACGTTTTGTCCGAGTGTTTGAAAGGTGAGGCAAAAATTAAGAATTATCTGTTGATCATTTTGAGGCCTCCGTAAGACCTTGCTTTTTACTAGATCAGAAGGACAGAGATAAAGGAGGATTTGAAACATCAGTGATAAAAAAGTTTTAAAACTTAAAAAAAACAACTACGTTGAGGTGTAACTTCCAGACCATAAAATTCACCCACTGTAAGCTAAAATTCAATAGTTTTTAGGAAATCTTACTGAGTTCTGCAATTATCTCTACAATCTAGTTTTAGAATATTTCCATCACCCATTCTTTGGCCATTTCATATAAATGGAATAGTACACAATGCAGTCTCTGACTTAGCATGATGTTTCTGAGATTCATGGACGTTGTAGTACGTATGAGTTGCTCATCACTTTTGTTGCTAAATCATGTTCCACTATTTGGATACAACACGTTTCGTCTGTGCACTCACCAGTCGATGGACATCTGGATTGTTTCCAGTTTTATCCTATTATAAATGATGCTGCCACGAACACTCTCGTGCATGTCTCTGTGTGGACACGTTTTTATTTATTGGGTAGTTTCCAAGGAATGGAAATCCTTGGGATTATGATATTTAATTTTTAAAGAAACTGCCAATTATTTTCCAAAGCAGCTCTACCGTCCTCCCCAGGACCAACGTGTCGAGGCTTCCAGTTTCTCCATATCTTCAGCACCGCGTGCTTTTTAGCTTTCTGATTGTAACCATTCCAGTGGGCACATAGCCGTGTCTAGCTGTGGTTTGATTTCCATTTCTTTAATGGCTAATAATGTCGAGTCTTTTTATGTCTTTTCCTTCTTTGAACAGTGTCTTTCACAGGGCAAAATTTTCTAATTTTAATGAAGTTCAGTTTATCAAGTTACCCTTTTATGGATTGCGCTTCTGGTGTTGTAGCTAAGGTCAATGCTTTGCCTAACCCAAGATCACAAAGCTTTTCTTCTATGTCTTCTTCCAGAAGTTTCATAGTTTTAGCTGTTACATTTATCCAAGACAGCAAGGCCTAGATTGCTGTTCTTTGCAAATCCCAATGTCCCAATTCAGTTCAGAATATATTTGCTAGTATTCTCAGTGAGTATCAGTCAAGAGATGAATTGATTGTAGGTATCCTCACCTCGCTGAGGGTTGAAAACTCTCTCGGTTAAAATTTATAATTGTGCAGTCTCAATAAATCCAGTGATTAATTTAAAATTACTGTGTCCTTAAAAGGTAGGAAGGGTTAATATATATAATTCTCAAGTGTCTTTTACAAATATCTGCACATGGAATCCTGTTTCAATAGATGATTTGTACTTGAAAATATTCTAAAGCAGTGGTCTTTGGGTTACAGTTTCTAGAAATAATCATAACATTAAAATGTAAATAAGTAATTTAGACAAGCTTTTTTTAAATTAAATAGACCTGGCAGTTTTACTTCTGTTCGCAGACATTTAAAAGGGAGAAAATTGTGTGTTACTGAAATGTTCTTTAAAGGAACTAAACTTCCCATTTTCCCATTTGTCACCCAAGGTGCCTAAATGTCTTTGGAGAAGTTAAGTTGCTGTTGTAACTGGTTTATTTTGGGGTGAGTTGTTTTCCCACTGACTCAGCAGAAGTTGCAACTTGCTTTTGCCATTGACTGGGAAAAGTTACAAAGGTCTTTTATGAGTCAGGACAAGTCTGGCCAGAAGTGACCTGACCTGAAAGATAAGAGCTGTGGTTTGGCTCGTCTTCTGAGTGGGAAACTCTGCTTGGTCTGGGGAAGATGGAGGCAGAGAGAGAGTCTCCCCCTATTAGGAGGGCACTCTGACACCTCGGGTCCCCACATCCTGTTGATAAAGCCACTACTGTTTGCCGTCACCCATATACAGGGAAGGATAGGTGCCGGGGCTCAAATAACTAAATTCCAGGATGACAGGTATCTGGGCATCGATGTGCAGGGGTTGCCTGCCTCTGAGGGATGAGGGCCAGTCTCCTCCCTTTACTCTGCCAACTTCCCCCACTGTGTGCATCACCGCCAAAGATTAACTTCTTTTCTTTTAGAATTAGTTTGCATTATCTTGGAGGGAGCTGCTAACGTAATCAGGGACACTATTTCTCATAGGACACATGGTAAGTTTGCACTGCAAGTGAATGGAGTTGGGGGAAGGCTTTAATTGGGAAAAGCTTCTATAACAAGTACAAAGTTCTTTCGAAGACTTTGCCGCCTCCCCTTCCTACACAACCACCCAGGGGTTGTGATGGAAACTTGGGCTCCCGCAGAAGCACTCGACCTGTGCAGGATTGCCCAAGGAGTGCTCACATGACTGGGTCTTGTCCAGCCTTTACCGCTGGCTGTGTGGCCTGACTCATGGGGCCGCCATCCTCACTTCTCCTTTCTAGTCAGAAAGAAAGATCAGAAAAAGGAAAGAAGATGAGGGGAAAGGAAAGGAAAAAGGAAAGAAGAAAGAAAGGAGGGAGGTGGGTGGTGGAGTGAGGGAGGGAAGGAAGGAAGAAAGGGAGGGAAAAAAGTAACTCTCCCAAGGCAGAGCTAGCTAGTCTCACCTTGCAGGTCATGACTATTTAGGGAATTAGTTTATTTCTCTTGCCCTGTCCCACCCAGGCTGACGAGAATGACCCAACTTGCTTCTCTTTTGTTTTTCTCCCCCACCTTTTGCCTGTAAGAGCCACTGACAAAAGGAATTTGAGTTTATACGAAAGAGAACTTGAGAGGATATTCTCAGTTCATGCTCAGAAGACTATGCAGGAGTTTGCCAGTGATCAACTCCTCTGAAAGTTAGATCTTTTGAAACTTTCAAACATTCGGGGGAGGGTATAGGTCAAGTGATAGAGCGCATGCTTAGCATGCATGAAGTCCTGGGTTCAATCCCCATCCCTCCTCTAAAAATAAAACCCAATTACCTCCCCACTCCCACCGACAAACAAACAACAAACAAACTTTCAAACATTCGAATGTGGCTGAGAGAAGGACACAGTGGTTCCGATGTTCTCAGCGAGGAGATTTTAAATGTCTGAATAAAGGTCGTCCAGCTCCATTCTCCTCTTGGGAAACGGAAGCTGGTTTGGGAAGTGCTACCAGTCAAGTTCCATTCCCGCAAGGCCCTGGTGTATCGCCATGGGGTGGATGAAGGGAAATTCTCTGCTAATGTCTCAGCTTTCTCTCTAGGGCAGAACTGACCTAGACTTCCCAGCCCTCCTCAGTCCACGTGGCAAGCACTGAGCACACTGGGTTTGCGGGGCTGTGGGCACTCAATGAACTACTCGTGGTATGTTTGTTTATATTATGTAGTTAAAATTAGAAGTATAAAACACAAAGCATATTCAGATATTTAATATTAAATGGATATGAAACTCCCACGTACGTTTTTCAATTTGCTTACTCGTCTTACAGATGTGAACGTATCTTTTTGGGTTTTTGAGCTTGAATCGGCCAGGCAGTTCCTGACCAAGACTTTCATGGTGAGCTAGTCACATTCTCAACAGTCATCATCAACAAGAAACTTTATTTGCACAAGTAGGTGATAGAACATTTTTTATTGATTTTTATTGATTTTTAGACAACCATTCAAAAATTTCCAACAGTAGAAATTATCTTTATAGGGTCTAATAGCTCCCCCCCACCCTTTCACGGGTTAAATATGATGCTGGCCTTTCTTGTAACAATGCAGATTCTTTCCTAACTCAGAACTTTCATGTCTGGAGTACCCCACAGAACAGTAGAGCCGGTTCACCTGGAGGCCAGGGCACTGGGACTGGCAGCAGGGACCAGGACCCAGGCTGTGAGGGCCCAGTGCAGATGTTGATCCTTGCAGGCTGCGGTGGTTTGAGTGAGGCTGTTCACAAGTGAAAAGCAACAGGCCTGAGGATGTCAGTGGCCCTGGGCCTGCATGGCTGCCCTGAGGGCTAAGGGCTCAACACTGAAACTGACTGCATCCATCTACTGCTTTACTAGCAGAGTAAGTTAGCCTCCTCTTGCCTCAGTCTGCCCATCTGTGAAGTGGACATAATAACAGTACCCACCTGGTAGGGTTGTTATGAGGATTAAATGAGCGCCCTGCCTGGCCACATAGTAAGTGATATCTATGTGACTGTTAAACAACATGAAAAGGTCAGAGGCTCTGGAACAGACCCCCAAATCATATGCTTAGAGCCACCCAGAATTGGGTGACTTGGTTCAGAATTCTGGCTCCAGCCCTCTCTAGACGTGGGTCGCAGCAGATTAGTCATCCTCACCGTCCTCGGTGTTCTGGCCCAGGTGTGATGATGGCACTGGTACCCACATTAATGATGTGCAGATGAGACGTACAGTTCACATAAAGTGCTTGAGACGTAACAAGTGCTCAACCAGTGATGGCTTTTATGTCCCCGCGGAGCCAGGGTGTGAACTCAGGGGTTCTGACTCTAAGCTTGCTCCCGGCCCACTGCCCACGTCCCCCTCCCACCCTCTCACGAGTCGCGCCTTCCCACAGAAAAGGGCTTCACCTCTTGGACTCCCTTCTGCAATTTATTTGAAATCTTTCCACTCAGATTGTATTTTTCCCTTTTAATATTTTTTTGTTGTTCTTCATCTTTAGGCTCTCTGGAGTGGTTTTTCCATATTTTTCAAAAAACAAAGCCAAGAATGGTCAGAGCAGTTTCATCTCGAGGGCAAAGCATCAAGGGAACTCCTTTGCAAAGGCACCGAGGCAGCCGGGGACCATGTCTTTCCAAGTCTCAAGTAAGTACAACACATCCTTCCTCATTCATATTTTATTAGGAAGCCGTATCAGAGAATTAATTAGTTAAAAAACTTTCACTATGAAATGAATCATGCTTATCAAATAGATGATTCATGTAGGGGTATCGGATTTTCCTTAAGACCAGAAGCAAAGCCAAATTGGGCGTTTCATTTTACAAATATTTAACAGTCATGAAAAAGGAAAAGAACCTTAAAAAAAACCAACTTTGTGCAAATGTTAACGTCAAGGGACTGCTGTAGGGATGAGGCTGTGAGAGCTTAAATTTTAAGATCTGTGAGATCAGTGACACGAGCTAAGTCATCTTTTATTAAAATAGAAAAATCTTTTGTCTCTTTCCACCATATACATATAGATATTTTCTCTTTAAATAAATATATATTATGTATTTTAAATGATGACTTACTTGACAACATTCATGTGGTGCTTTCGGGCCATGGTGTTTACTTGGTAAGGAGGACAAATACCAAAAACATCAAGTGTACGTGGATTCTTCTAAGGTGGAATTTCCTTGGTTTGGGAATGTGTCCCTGCTCCCCTCACATGAGGACTTCTGAGCCTCCTGAGGAGTCGTCAGCAAACAAAAGTTCGTCTGATGATGGGCTCCCCAAGGGCAGCGTGCTGGACTGGGACCAGGTGACCCCATTCCTTACAGGTCTGTCCTCTGGTAACACACTGTTCTTTCCCGCTGTCCCCGTCGCTGGGGTGGCAGAAGCCTGATCCTCCCATCCCTCGCTGCCCCCGTTCAGGATGTACCGTCCCTCGTGAGGTCTGTTCTCATGTACTTCCGCCGTGACCACACTGACGGCAGCACCGGGGATGCAGGAAGCAGTGATGGAGCCAGGATCGAGGCTCTTGTCCAGCTGAGCCAGTGCCGAGCCCTCGGCCGGGCCCTCACCGCTCTCCGGAAACTGGGTGTTGATATAAAGGACATCGGCTTTGTCCTGAACTGCAGGCAAACTTTCCAAGAGCTTTTCGAGCTGCAGCCTCAACACGGAAAAAGTGGGTCGGTCCAAGGGCTCAACTCTCCAGCAAGAGTGCATTATCTCATACCTACAAGCAAAGAAGAGCGAGTTACCTCCTGCCAGGGCCCCCAGCACCTTTAGCGTAATTCGCCTCTTGTTTTCCCCTCATCTTTGATTTGACTACATTTTAATCGGCAGTAATTCTACTTTTTGGAAATGACTGAGGTTTTCCCAGTGATGTAATATTTGTTCCTCTTTTATAACTGTTCTGTGGGAATGGGCTCCAGGAACAGAGGACACATGTGGCCATTACATCTAACTTTGCTGAAAATGACTATTTCAGGTCCTTTCTTTTGCTCCACAGGTTGGCAAACTATGGCCCAGGGGTCAGATCGGGTCCACCGACATCACTGTATTTCTTAGCGCTGACTTGAAAATGACCGAGGGGCCGCTGAACACAGAAGTCAGCTCATCTCAACTCAGGTTAAATGGCAAACCCAGATGAGAAGGTCAAAAGTATCTGCCTTGTTTTTTAAAAAAAAGGCCCCACCTCTGGAAACACAGAGGCCTCTTCCGAGGATGCTGGTGTTCATCAGCCTCCAGACCCAAGAGGGGACCTGGGGAGCAGGCCTGTTCACCAGAGCCCCTGCCAGCCCTAGGCATGAGGAGCCAGCCTGGGTATGGGGACCACGGAGCTGCTGGCTCCGCTCGCTCGGCTTCCCCAGCCGCCGGCGTCTGCTGATGCTGCGACTCTCACCGACAAAGTTTCTCAGAAAACCGACTCAGCATTCCCTGGTCTGGGCTCCCTGCAAAACATCTAAAACCACAATGTGACCCAGCTTAGCCCTTGCTAAGACCCCAGATAATCACTGCAACTTCTCCCGGAGCCCAACAGGAGCCAAGAAACAGCAACAACGCTCTTCATTCAATATTGTTGGATGGAAATCACTTCCTCATTTCCAGAAGCAAACATTTCATTACTGTGGCCCTTTCAACAGCTACTGTGAAACCCCGGCTCTAATTTAATTAGGATTTCATGATGTTTTTAAAGGGCTTACTTTGTTTTGTTTCTGTTCTTCATGTTACGCATTTAAAACCACAATAACCACCACCACCACCTACCTACCCCCAAGCAGAGTGAGGCCCTGATCAAGAAAGTTTCCTTCTGTTTGGCTTGGATGGGATCTGGGAGGCCCACGTGCAAACTGACCAGGCCCTCTCATCAGGGTTAGGAAGCAGGGCCCAAGTGTGAGTTCTGAGAGTGTGTGTATGTGTGTGTGTGTGTGTGTGTGTGTAGTGGGTGGGGGTGGGGGCTGCAAAGGCCCACTCTCCAAACCCAGGACACCCCAGCATGGTGTCCCACTGTCCTGAAATGTTCCCGCTAAATATGATGAGAATGCCCCTCTCCAAACCCAGGACGCCTGTTATGTTGGGAAGAGACTCACCATTAGGAAGGATCGGATCACCGAGTTAGAGGCAGTGCCGCAAGAAATTGTTCTTAGTGGGGAGGGTATAGCTCAGGGGTAGAGTGCATGCTCAGCATGCACAAGGTCCTGGGTTCAATCCCTACTACCTCCGTGAAAATAAATACATTAAATAAAAACTTAATGACCCCCTTCCCCCCCAAAAAAGACTGGCTTATAAATAAATGAATTAATTAAATTTAAAAAGAAATTTTAAAAAATTAGTTTTAAAAAGTCAGCAAGGTGTTGGGAGGGGGTATCAGTCTGCAATGATGCTGTTAGTAACTGGCACCATTATGTGACATTACTGTGTGTGCCCCTGCCCGCTGAGCGCGCCACACACTTCCTCGTTAACCCTCCCAATACCTCTCTGAAGAACACGTGACTGTACTTTTTTGGTGGCTGATCACGAGGCACGGAGAGGCCAAGTCAGTTGTGATGGCCAGACATGTGGCTGGTGAGAAGGCAGAACCTGGCCTGTGTGACTCCAGGTCCTGGGCCTCTCCCCGTACTGCTCGCCCTGAAGGGAGGGGGGCCCATCGGGACGGGAAGCGCACTGTGGTCCCGAGTCACTGGCTTGGATTTCTAAATTTCCTGGGTCAAGCTATTCCTGTGATTGGGTTTATTTAAAACACTGAATAAAAGAAGAAGCTTGGGGTGTGGGCTAGAGCTCAGTGGTAGAGCGCATGCTTAGCATGCACAAGGTCCTGGGTTCAATCCCCAGTGCCTCCATTTGAAGCACAAGAAAAGAAGCATGACTGCAGCAAAAGACACCAGGGAATCACACAAGTACCTCATGCATTATAAAGTCAGCCCATTTATCTAAAGGATCGATAGTCCTCCCTCGGTCTCCATGGCAGGTTGGTTCCAGATGCCCCCAGCAGATACCAACACTTGAAGATGCTCAAGCCCCTTACTGTTGGCTCTCCATACCCGCGGATTCTGCATCCACCGATCCGGAGGCCCGACTGTATGTCCTAGAGGTGCTTACAGAACTTCGGAACGTGTGCGGGCTCTCTGGAGATATGCACACGCCACCTCCCGCACCAGGACAGGCTTCTGACTCGGGATATCTGCATGTGCCACCTGCTGCCCCCACCTGCCAGGCTGTGCACCCCCACCCACCGGGGCTGTGTATCCCCAGGGTGCCCCGTGATGCAGAGCAGCTGACTCACAGCTCATCCAGGCAGTCCTCGGGCTGCTTCAGCCTGTGCCCATGGAGCAGATAGTCATAGATTTCGTGGTTCTGGACTCCGGGATAGGGAGTCATTCCTCGTGTGGCTATTTCCCACATGGTCACGCCAAATGCCCACTGAGGACAAAGCAACAACATTAGGATGCAAGTCTTTTCAGAAGGGCTGAATGGACTTCTTCATTGGGAAAGGTCATTTCCTTAGAGCCCTGACAATCGGGCACAAAGCAGACAATTATGTCTGAGACACACTGCTCTCCTGACACGGCAATTACGTGGGGTCGGAACGTCACAGTTCCCTGTTTTCACTAAAGCTGTTTGGGAAATTTGACAAAGGCCGATCAAGCCTTCTGTCACATCAGTGCTGCTTAATCCTCTCTTCCCACTGTTGTCGGCAAGTGTTTTCTTTTCCCAATCTGTGGTCAAGGGCATCGTTACACAGCACGTCTGATGTAGCATCTTGGTTCCCAAGAGCCTTTGAGTGAGTTCATTTAATTTAATGTGAAAACGACGCATCCTAGTTACGGGCGATAAGTCACTATACTGTAGAAAAGAAAAGTGGGAATAAATTAAGGGTCTGTGCAAATCCTCTGAATGTCCGGATAGTTCACCAGAATCTAGTGTGAATTGAAGGGATAAATAAAAAATAGATGTGAATATGCCCCAATTCTCAGTTTATCAAAGAAGAAGATATCTTGCAGCACCAACTTAAATCATTGCTTTCAGTGTCCCTTCATCTTAGCAGTGTGGGGCCCTGAATCAAAACTGTACGTACCACGTCACTTTTACTTGTGTAAACCCGGTCCGCGAGACTCTCTATGGCGATCCATTTCACGGGCATCTTAGCGATGCGGCCTTGCCGATAGTAATCGCCACTGTAAATCTTCTTAGAGAGGCCAAAGTCCGCGACGCAGACAGTCATGTCATCTCGCAACCTACACAGAGAGAGAGAGCGAGCAAGTTCACATCCTCAGCGATCCTCAGAGGCAAAGCCTTAAATCACAGGTCTGCATCGCATGCAGCTGCAAACAGTCATGATAAGGAACCCAAAGATACAGACTCCATCAGCCCGTGAAGGTCTTTCCTGGAACCAAGAGTAGAGCAACTGAGGGGGAACCAAGAGGGATAACCTTGCACCTGTCTGGTCTGTGTGGGGATCTGGATGGCAAGGGTGCCTGTGCGCAGAGGATGGAGCCGAGCTGCTGCAGGGGAGGAGGAGCCCCTCAAAGCCAGGGCCCCCGGGGGGCTCATCCAGAGCCCCAGCAGCCTTCCTGCCTGGTGTCTGGAGACTAAGTAAGCCTTCTGACAGTTGGCGGGGGTGGGGAAGCATGTGCTGTAAGAGGGGGGACGCTGCACTTCCTGCTAAGATGGCCAAGGGGTACCTGAGGAATGAACTGGAAAATTAAAGGAATACAATTGCGTTCATAGCTAAGCTGTTAAAACAGAACCTAGACTAGAAGGAGAGGAGGAGGGATGACTGCTCTGGAGGCAGGGTGACCACCTTGTCCCTGTTTGTCCGACACTGACTTTTAAAACTAAAAGTCCCATGTCCTGGGAAACCTCTCAGTTCCAGGCAGACTGGATAGGTGGGCACCCTACCTGGCGGGAAAAACATGAAGAAAATATTAAGGGAGAGAAAACGTTTTCACGATTCTTCCTCCATGGCAGACAAATCATTCAAATAAAGAACAAAAAACAAGACGCTTCTGGGTTCTCAAAAATGAGGCGAAAGTGACAGAGGGCCAGGGGGCGGGGCTGGTTAGGAGCAGTGAGGGGACAGGCCCCACGACTCGTCTCCAGCCAAGAAAAACAAGCGACAGCTATACGTATATAAGGAGCTCACTCTTCTTACAGTAGTGAATGTAAAATCAAGCAGTAGTTGTTGTTTCTGAAGATTTACAGCAGACCATGCATGGCGTTGTTGAAACAGACGGAAGAGATGGGGAGAGCTTAAGTTCAAAGCTCTTATATAAGCCCTTGTCTCTGCTGCAAAAGGACAGTTTTGGTGTCATCGGTACAAAACTTCTTCACAAGGCAGCATCGTGAAAACATAGGGTCAAAACCTTTATGATTTTCATTACTGTCTTCATGATGAACTGACGTCTATGTAACTCTGGGTCCAAATTAGCTGATGGCAATGGGGAATGATCACAGAGATGACACACCTAGCTGGCTGAAAGGAAACAAGTAGTCACAGGGGAAAGTTCTGGAGGCTAAACTGACTCTTGGAGGCAGAGGTAGTGAAAACCCCTGAGCAAAAACCCAGTCATATATCAGAGCCGTAGAAATCCCACCTCCAGAGTCAGCCACACACTGTCCCCTCCCAAACCTAGCCCATCTCCGTACTGTAACTGCAATGGGCCACCCCCAGTTCTCTCCCTGGCAGCCCCTCCCCCAACACTGCCACCAAATATCTAACGCCACGAGGTCCAGCCCCCTCCAGGAAGAGCCAGGCCTCTCACATGCAGTTTCGAGCAGCCAAATCTCGATGAAGAAAATTCCTGTTGCTCAGATACTCCATTCCCTGAGCGATGTCCACCATGAACTTCAAGAGTGTCTGCAGAGGAATGTACTAGAGGGTGGAAGAAACAAAAAAGAAAGATTATTTTTTCGAAAGAAAACCAGGCAAGTTGACTTCCCTTCGAGGGGCGAAGTGATGTTTTTATTTCTCAGAGGTGTGGCCATCAAACAAGGAAACCAAACAGATCTTTCATTTCTGTATCACGAATGTCACAAACAAGGTTTTAAAAAGGAATGAAAAACAAACAAAAACAACAACAACAACAAATCCGAAAACTTCTTGGCAAATATCACATTTTCTCCTCCCTGTTTCTTAAAAGTATTGACAGTGAGTAACATTCTTTTCACAAGCCATTAGGTCAAGGGGGGAGGGTATAGCTCAGTGGTAGAGCGCATGCTTAGCATGCTGAGGTCCTGGGTTCAAGCTGCAGTACCTCCACTAGAAAAATAAGTAAATAGATCTAATTACCTACCCCCCCACCCCCAAATAAAACAAGTTATGAGGTCAAATGTGATTCTTGCATCCTTCTTAGTGGAGCAGGACAGAGTGCCCATATATGCAAAGAGGGAAAAAAACGGGGTGGTCTGGCCTCAGTGGGGGAGGGATGTGTGTGAGGGTCTAATGTTTTGATGGCAAAAAGCCCACTGAGAAGGAGCTGTTTCCAATTATGCCCCTACATCTGCTATCACTTTACTTGGAAGTTTTTTGAAAGATACTTTTCTTGTACTGGACAGAAAGTAGGACAGTCTTTATCTCTCATCACAGCACCTAAGTAGCACCAGGAAGTAATTGGGAATTTTCATTTTTGTTTCTCTAGGGCCTTCCCGTAAGTTTGAACAGTCTAGTGTTTTTTCTATGTTGTAAAAAATCAAACCAGATGGTGGGTTAGAAAACCTGTTGTGTTGGGATTGATTACGGGGATGATGACTGATGAAGACTTCTGTGTAGTAACTCAATGTTTCAGTGCAGTCGGAGCCCGAAAGAAAAGGGCTTCCAAGTTTCTGGAAATCGTAAATGGGTCCACCCATGATACAGTCTCCCCAAGGCACTGGATTTGTCATGGCTTATTCTCTGTGGCATATGAGTCTTCCAAAGTGGTACTGGGAAGACCTGGAATTTTTAATAATTTATATTTCCCAACTAAGACACGTGTCAATCACAGACTGTATACATAATAAAATGCTTTAATTATCCTTTACCCTTACATAATGGAGTTGTTTAAAAAAACATAAGCAAATCAGGCATGAAATTCTGTCTCGTATATTCTGGGCATTTGATTTTCTGGATGCTAATTTCCAGAAAAAGATTCAGGTGCTGAGAAATATCAAATCTGCTGACATTCATGAAGGTATAATGAATATCAGGTATTACTCATTTGTGTTCTTTTTTCTGGCACAGTTATATTATTCTTATGATTGTGACCAAAGATCATTTAAAAGATAAACTGTGTGAGAGAAGGAATAAATGAGTTAAGAAGGTAGCAGGATACTTGACTGACATACAAAAAAAAAAAATCAATTGTATGGAATACTACTCAGCCATAAAAAAGAATGAAATAATGCCATTTGCAGCAACATGGATGGACCTAGAGATTATCATTCTAAGTGAAATAAGCCAGAAATAGAAAGAAAAATACCATATGATATCACTCATATGTGGAATCTTAAAAAAAAGGACACTATGAACTCATTTACAGAACAGAAGCAGACTCACAGACATACTAAACAAGCTATGGTTACCTAGGGAAAGAGGGTAGGAAGGGATAAATTTGGGAGTTTGAGATGTGCAAATGTTAGGCACTATATATATAAAAATAGATTAAAGAAACAAACAAGTTTCTTCTGTATAGCACAGGGAAATAATATCAATATCTTATAATAACCTTTAATGAAAAAGAATATAAAAACAATATATGTATGTATATGCCTGACTGGGACGTTGTGCGGTACACCAGAAATTGACACATCTCAACTGACTGTACTTAAAAAAAAAAAAGAATGTAAATCAGAAAAAAAAAATCAATTGTATTTCTACACACTAGCAATGAACAGCCTGAATGTGAAATTAAGAAAACAACTTCATCTACAAAACAATCAGAAACAAAGTTCTTAGGAATACATTTAACAAAAGAAGTGCAAAACGTATACTCTGACAACTGCCGAACAAAAGAATTAAATTCGTTCTCTAAATAAATGGAAAGGTGGCCTGTGTTCACGGATTGGAAGAACAGGGGTGCGATTCACACAGAGGACAGAATGGCGCCCAGGCCCTGCTGGGGAAGCCCAGTTACGTAACCGAGACCTGGTCTTGGGCCCCTCTAGCAGGAACAGAAGGTATTTATTCCCAAGGAGTTGACTGATAAGGCAGTAGAGATCTGCATAAAAGCTTGATTTTCCAGTTTGTCTATGACACATTTTGCGACTTTCAGCTTGGCCATTAGAGACATACTTGTGTTTTTGCAAATAGAAACTATTCATTAGTCAGTAAAATGCCGTCCTTGTTTCCTTACTTGTTATTTTGTTCAAGGGAACATAAGATGATAACAGTACGTTTGGCAGACATAGAAAACTGATTCTAAAATTTATATGGAAGGGCAACAAAACCAGAACAGCAAAGATAATTCTGAAAAAGTCGGATAAATTTGGAGGAATCACACCACTCGATTTTAAGACTTACAATAAAACTAGTGTGGAAGGGGCGAAGGATGGGGCATGGTTTAATGGAACAGAACAGAGAACTCAGAAATGGACCCACACACACATACAGACAACTGATTTTTGACAAAGGTGCGAAAGCAATGAATGGATTAAGGACAGTCGTTTCGCAAATGATGCTGGTCATCTACATGCAAAAAAAGCAACAAACTAAATTTCACACCTTATACAAAAATTAATGCAAAATGGGTCACAGATTTAAACGTAACATGTAATGCTGCAAAATTTTTCGAAGAAAATATAGGAGAAAAATCTTTTAAAAAGGGGGTTAGGCAAAGAGTTCTTAGACATGATGGCAAAAGTGTCATCCATAAAAGACAAAACCTGATGAACTGCACTTCATCAAAATGTAAAATTTTGCCTCTTGTTAAGAGAACACAAAGACAAGCTACAAACTGGGAGAAAAATCTTTGCAAGTCACGTATTCAGCAAAGGCATTGTATCTAGAATATGGACAGAACTCCCCAAGCTCAACAATTGGGGTAGGCCCTTCACCTCTTTGGAGGAGCCTCAGCGACATAACAGCTCTGTGATGTGGCTGCAGTTTCCTGTCTCTGGTTAGTACTTGTGCTGGTGGAAGACTTAAAAGAAGCCACGAAGAACACACGTGTGAGCCCAGGAGCGCAGGGAGTGCGACACAAAGAAAGGGGCTCTCTCTCCTGCTTAGGCCCCTTACACCTTCCCTGGAAAGAACAGAACACGTGCAAGAAAAAGAAAAGCGAACACATCCTGGCCTGCCCATAACACACAGGCATAAGCCGCCCACAGGGACAGCAAGACACAGAAAAGAAGGTTCCAGAAAATGTTCACCTTAAATTGGGTCTCAGGTTTTATGTTTTTTTCCAACTGTCTGGCCAAATTTTAAATGAATGGCTGTTTTAACTGGTTCACCTGAATTTTGGACGAGGACCCTTCCCATGCAGGCCCCTCATCACCATCACCACTCTTTCCACCACCTGTGATGGCGGGGGTGGGGCTGGGCCCATTCCCGTTCGGCTTCTCTGTGCTGGGGGCGGGGTTTGCCCTGCGGGGTCACCGCTCCGCTCAGGGGCACTGCGGAAGGAAGGCAGGCTGGCCCACCAATTCCCAACACGCTTTCTGATTCTGAGGACGGAAGGGGCTCAGGATGAAGAGAAAGACGGTTGCAGCCCACTCCCCATCAAGGTCTCTGAGAAATAACTCAATGCAGCTTCCTCCTGGGAACCGAGACAGATCCGGCATCCAGTGATTTCACAGGGAACAAGGTCAGAGAGGAGACCTTGCAGGAAAGAGGCCACTCTGACAGCACCCAGGGCCCACTGGCTCCACTCCCAGCTGGCTCCACCTTCCATAAAATGGGAATAATAAAACCCACACTGAGGTTGTCCAGGCCCTGTCACGTGAGCCCCAGGAACTGCTCAGAGGCAATGCAGCTGGGTGATTAATTACCTTTGGTCCCGTGTCCAGCCGGGAATAGAGTAAGTAGGTGTGCAGATCCCCGTATTTCATGAAGGGTAAGATCACCATGGGCTTGGGGATACCTTGAGGGCTCATTTCTATACATACACCTGGAATTAAAACCAGAGAAAGAGTAACAAAGAGCCCTTGTTACCAGTGTCCAGAAAAAGCACTGCAGGACCCCTGGCCAAATTAAAACCATGTGCTCTCAAGTTAATAGTTAAAAAAGCACTCATAGCTCACACACTGTGTTTTAGAATATGGAACACACACTGAGTCCACCGCGTGGTTATTTTTGTTTCTTTCAGATTAGTGCCAATCTTTGCATGAAATCTCTCAAAAATTAATTGATACCAAATATAACCATCTAAACCCCCTTGAAGTGTTTATTCTGAGTCTAGGTGAGGGGAAGTGACAGCGGTAGAATTCAAGGGCAAACTAGTTTTGTGTGATGGTTAAATAGTTAATCATACGAAGAAGTCCCCTGCAAACAAATGCTTAAAATGGTCAGTAGAATTCTGAGGGCCAAGAGGTGAGACCCATGTCTCTAAATGTTAACAGTTATACACAGGAGGAGCTCAGCACCGTTTGCCATGGATGCTAGGATCAGAGCCTGTCTGTCACCTGAGATCCGGCTTATAAAGCTCATGCACATCGTGCTACAATTACAAAGCGCCATTGTTCTCAGAATCTGCTGAAGTTAATAGTTGCAAATGAGTAACAGCAGTTTCTTTGACATAATATTGTCTTCAAACATTAGCTTTCACATCTCTCTGCAGTGTCACAAGAAAACTGCAAGTTCCCCAAAGAATTTAGCATTTATCAAGCCACAGGACAGCAAGCAAACAAACAAACAAAAATGTTGGCAGAATATTCAATTTACTTTTAGGTCCCTCTTTCCTCTTGGAAAAGGATCACACAGCAACCACTCGATATCTGATCTCTATTTTGTATTTTTTAGCTGCTGGTGCCACAAAACCAGATTCTGACTGTTCAGTCGCTGCCTCAATTAAATCAAGTCCCATGAAACTGTCAGTGTAGAAGAAATCTGTACTTGAAACTATGTTAACAAATTGTTTCTCAAAGATGGTCTGTGGAATTTGTCTACTTTCAGCCTTACCCCACTGGTCTTTAATTCACTTAAATCAATAAATATTATAGCATGATCAGCTTTCGTGTCTTGCCTTTGAGTAAACTGGGGGCTCTTTTACTCCACAGTCACCTAGAACTCTGTGGACACTAAATGTCCCTCAGCCCACCAGTGCCCAGGAAATGCAGGCCCATTTTTATGCTCAGCCTCAGAAAACATAACTGTAAGAAGTCCTTTGGGTGAAAAACCCAATGCTATGAATTACTCTGGGATTATACAAAGTGTAAAACTTATCTGCCCCAGAGGTTTTTCTTTTGGCGCAGAGTGAATCAGCAGATCCCCCCCAGCCCCCAAGTCCCACATTTCTCCGAGGTACCGAGCAGTCGGATGACGTTTGGGTGGTTAAAGTCTTTCATGCACGCAGCCTCGCTGAGAAACTCCTCAATCTCTCGCTGTGAAAAGTTGTCCACTAAAAGAAAAGACAGAAAATGTGAGGCATGAATAATTTACTCGGTGAAGGGGAGAGGGGAGGGAATAGCAATTCTGTTCTCTAAACGTAAAATGAGGAAGAGGCAAAACTATCAGAGACAGTAAAGAGTTGAGTGGCTGTTAGGTTCTGGTGCAGGGGAGGGATGAAGAGGTGGTGCCTCAGTGTTCAGAGCAGCACTGTCTACAACAGCCAAGTCATGAAAGCAACCCAAATGTCCATCGACAGATGACTGGATAAAGAAGATGTGATACACATACACAATGGAATACTACTCAGCCATCAAAAAGAGTGAAATAATGCCGTTTGCAGCAACATGGGTGAACTTGGAGATTATCACACTAAATGAAGTAAATGAAACAGAGAAAGAAAAAATATAGGATATCACTTATATGTGGAATCTAAAATGGGACACAAATGAACTTATTTACAAAACAGAAACAGACTCACAGATAGAAAACATGGTTACCAAAGGAGAAAGGAAATGGGGGAGGGATAAATTAGGAGTTTGAGATTAGCAGATACAAACTGCTGTATATAAAACAGATAAACAAGAAGGTCTTACTGTATAGCATAGGGAACTATACTCAATATCCTGTAATAAACCATAATGGAAAAGAATAAGAAAAAGAATATATATATCTTTTTTTTTCCTGTACACCAGAAACTAGCACAACATTGTAAATCAGCTATACTTCAATTAAATAAATCAAAATAGGTGGTGTGTGGGATTTTAGGATGATGAAACTTTTGTATGACACTGTTATGGTGGACGTAGGACATTAGTCAAAACCCACAGAATGTACAATACAAGGTGAACCCTAATATAACCTATGGATTTCAGTTAATAACATATCAGTAAGACTTCATCCAGTATAAAAAATGTACCACACCCAGGCATGATGTTGATAATAGGGGAGACTGTGTGAGGGGAGGGGGCATAGGGAACTCTGTACTTTCTGTCCAATTTTCCTATAAACCTAAAATTGCTCTAAAAATAAAAAAATAAAATATATTAGCTAAAAAAAAAAGCAAACCCTAAAATCCAATCCAACCTATCTGTTGCAATTATTTTTGCCTTAAAAAAAAATAGAAAGAACACATGCTTCTCTCAGCACATTTCTGGCAAGTCTCGTTGCTCAATCACCCCATGTGAACTAGATACGCTTTCATACTAAGTTTTTGGAAAGAAGTCAACTTAAAGAAACATTTAAAATTCTGTATTATGCTAAGTGAAATAAGCCAGTCACAAGAGGGCAAATACTGGATGCTTCCACTTTTATGAGGTACTTAGAGGAATTAAATTCATAAAGAAAGTAGAACGGTGGCTGCCAGGGGCAGGAGGTGGGATGTTGTTTCATGGGTACAGAGATTCAGTTTTGCAAAATGAAAAGAGCTCTGGAGATGGATGGATGGTGGTGATGGTTGCACAACAATGTGGATTCATATGTTTTTTAACTGAAGTGTAGTTGATTGACAACGTTGTGTTCATTTCTGGTGTACAGCAAAGTGACTCAGTTATACACATAGCTATGCACATATTCTTTTTCATATTCCTTTCCATTGTGGTTTATTACAAGATATTGAATACAGTTCTCTGTGCTATATAGTAGGACCTTGTTTATTTTATATATAGTAGGTTATATCCGCTAATCCCAAACCCCTGTATTACCCCTCCTGGCTGCCCCGGTTTGACCCCTTGGTAACCGTAAGTTTGTTTTCTATGTCTCTGAGTCAGTTTCCGTTCTGTAAATAAGTTCATCTGGCAGAACAACGTGAAGGTACTGAATGCCACTGAGCCATACACTTAAAAGATGGTTAGGATGGTATATTTTATGTCATGTGTATTTCACCACAGTTAAAATCAAACCTGAAGCTAGGCGTGCCTTAGAACATCTTTAAAAGGATGGAAGTATTGACTGAAATCACATGTGAGAGCATCAAGCACAATGTCTATACATCCTATGGGCTTAATACATATTAATTTTCCAATAAAAGCAAATTTAAGAAAAGAAATTCTGTAGACCTGCAAAGTGTCTGCCAGCTTTGCCCTCACCTATTGCTTCTGCCCCACAGGACCAGGTGGGTGGGTAAACCCCTCTCTAAGGGACTAACCCCCTTCCAGGCAAATGTAGATAAGCCTGGGATTCAGAGGCCAGAGACTGGCTTTCAATCTCTGATAAATAGCTCAGATGCAATTCATATGCAAGTTATTCTAATCAAATTAAAGAACAGCAGAGCCAAGGCCAGAGAGGAAACAGGTTCCAGGCCCAGCTCCTTTCTCTAGGGCCCCTGAACCTACGCGGTGAGTGGGATGTGGGAAGGAGCCTGCCTGTGGGCACACTGTGAGGTTAATAAAACCAGGCGAGAGGCAGGAACGGAGCTGAGTGTGGCTCAGCATCTGGATTCAGCTCCCTGTTGGGTTCAGCCCCAGTGAGTATTTCAACTTCGGGTTTTCTCAGTCTCTGGGGGAAAATACTTGATAAACTTACTTCCTAGTCATACGGATTTCCCGTTCCTGCTGTACTGGTGAAAGGTGGGCATGGCTGCAGTGTCCTTTGGCACACAGTAAGAACTACATACATATTGGCCGTGATTACATACATAAAACGCCTCTAAAAAGCAAAAAGCACCAGCCCACCTGACTTACTGGTTATTATGATTCCTTTTTATATTTAAATGAAAACTTCAGCTATAAAATGCAGGTATGAAGAGCTCATTCCAATATCTTTCCCTCTGTGACCTGACAGTTCTTCATGGCCTTAAACCCATCGGCGACTGAGATCATGACATATGAACTCCATCATCCATCACTGGCCTGACGGAGCACGAGGTGCTGAAGCAGCTGCCCACCCCTGGAAGAATGGGTTCAACTGGGGATAACTCACACTTCATAGTTTTCACCGCCACCTTCTGCGAGGTCCCGTCTTGCTGATTAAGATCTCCTTCCACGACAGACCCAAACTCTCCTGTGAAGTAAAACAACATCTATGCTGACCTTGTGCAAAATCTCTCCTGCCCACAGAAACGAGATGGCGCCAGAGCTGCTGTTTCCATGTGGCCCCGGAGGGACCCACACACAGCTGCCCAGGCCACCCACACTCGTACACCCAGGGCACAGGCTGTGCGTCAGCCTCCTGCTCGTCTGTCACGAGCTTGGTTGGCTCGGACTTAGCTCAGCTCACCACTTTATTAAGCATCATAACTGATCGAAGAAACTTACAAGACAGCATGGAAATTGTTACTGACGTACATCAAGTACAGACTCTTTATACCATCATCATCCATCCTAAGATCATTTTGACAAATCAAATACATATATATTTTCACCTCTGCTCCTATTTAACTAGGAAGGTGCCAAGGATAGTAAACTGAAGAACTAGAGGAATAAATTTAAAATATATAGAGGGAAGGGGATAGCTCAAGCGTTAGAATGCATGCTTAGCATGTATGAGGTCCTGGGTTCAATCCCCAGGACCTCCCCTAAAAATAAATAACTAAATAAAACTAATTATCTCCCTCCCACTACCAAAAAATAAAAAATAAATAAAACTGGAAAAAATAAAATAAAGTATATAGGCAGCTGATCAATGATTGCATGCTTTTTAATGAAGGAAAGGAATTAACATTTTTCAAGAGTTTTCAGGCTGTTTGTTGGGCTCTGTAGAAGCCCTTTTCATATGCCAAATCTGAGTTTCCAAAACCACTATTTCCTTTTTCATTTTAAAAGGTATAAAATAGAACTATTCGCATCATTAAAGTCACAGAACTGCATTTTATTTAATAAATATATATATATTTAATTACAGTAAACTGTGTACCTTTGTACTCACATTTTAAAAGAATTAAACTGCTTACCTTCGCCCAGAATTTTTCCAAGAATTAGAAGGTTCCTGTCAATCACGACATCTTCTAGCTTATTTTGCAGATCTTCGCTGACTCCCAAGCTGTGTACTATAACAGGAGTGACAGAATATATATGAGCTGTCAGTGCGCTTCCTTTCGTATGGGTCTAATTAAAGTTATACATAAAGACCTATAAAATCGTTCAAGCATTTTTCTCACTTTACACCCATAGCTCTCCCGGCAAAATAAATGCCAGTGGTAAAATACCACACTGAATGCTACTATGATTCAAGTAAGTAAAATGAATCCTTCGGGGCAAGATTAACTCTGAAGGATTAAAGAAATCAGAACCCTATTTCTCCTTCCATTGGGTGGCGGCAGCAGCAGGCGGCAAACAGATTCATGCCAGGGAGGTTTGCCCTTGACTCAAAGGAGTGAGGAAGATAAGTCGATATTCTTCCCTGTGGAGTGTTCACTATTATCCCTCTAACTAACAGCAAACAAAAAAGCCATCAGGACACCTCCCCTGCCCTCCTCTGCTCTCCCCAATGCCAGGGAAGGTGGCACAGAATCCAAAGGAAACATTCAGAGAACAAGCTACAGTTTATTTTACGTACGGTATGTGGACCGTCATTACAATGGCATAGAAAGTGCTCAATTGAGTACTTGGTGGTGGTGGTGGTGGTGGGGTATTGAAAGTTAAGATTTTTCTCTAAGAAGGTGTAGATACACCACACTGACAATCAGTGTTATCAGTAAGAGGTATTAACCCGGAGAGGGAGATGAATTCAATAATCACATGACTAATGATTCAGTTTGTGCCGTGGTTAGGGAATGAATGAAACTTGGCAAGGAAAAAAAAAAAGGGATAATTAGAAAGAATACATTAGCTCTTTGTGAAAAAGCTTTACCCAAATGGTCCTCCAGTTAAATATAGAAAACAGTCTAAATGAAGGATGCAAGAATAGAGTAAATGCAAGAATAGACATCTAAAAAGCAAAAACTTCCAGATTAGGAAAGCAAAGAAATTAAGAACACACCACATCTAGTGAGTTTTTGTTTCACAGCAACCTGTCTTCCATCACCTTCATTTTTCTTTGTTGTTGTTTGTTGCTGGTTTTTGGCAAACATCCAGAACCCCAAATTTGATAATATTCACACACTTTCTACACTCTTTCTGAAATTCTTCAAGAACGTAACTATCTGTTTATTCTCATTCTTCAAACTAAAGGAGTTCTTGCTCTCTGATTCAGCAAAAACTCAAACCACAATTGTCACAAAGTATGTTAGCAAATTGTTCTCTAAATTGGTTGCCAGGAAACAAGAGGAAATAAGCTCCAAGATGATGACAGCTGTTTTGCTGTTTCCTTTAAATCCCTGACCTCTACCCGCATCTCCTCTCACCCCGAGAGTTCCTTCTTCCCTCTGCTTGTGGTATTAGGAGTCCTTAACCCCGATCACTTCATCACAGGTCCAGCTCCAGATTTCCAGTAAACTGGCCGGCTGGGAAGCCATGGCCATGTCTGACCCTCTCCTTGTTGGTTTCTGAAGACATTTTGCACATTAAAAATATTCTTCAACTCCTTTGGCTTTTGTCAGAAACCCATCAATTAATCTGTGGTTCCTTCTGCTCTCTCAACTATTTTAAGTTTCGCCAAGAAAGAGAAATGAAAGCCAACTTACAGGTGAGTTCGATGGCTCGCCGACCGAAGGACTTCTTTGCTATATAGCTGACGACTAATTCCGAATCCTCCTCTGTGAAGGCGCTCCTGGGGACAATGAGAACAGATGTCTCGCACAAGAAGAACAGGGCTACGGAGGCCGGTGCTGATTCCACAAGACGCTACTAAGCTGCTGGCTGCTAAAAGGGCTCTTCCAGGACAGAAACACTTCTCTCTGGGACAAACAGGTTTCTTCCCTCAGATCCACTGTAGGCGTACCTGTCAATATCGCAACTCTGCCTATGAACCTTCGAGAGCGTAGAGCAACTGATAGGCTCCCAACGGCCAAAGCTGTAACACTCTGAGCAACACGTTAACGTTGTACTGGATTATAATCCATTCATTATAAAATGAATATTCATGAGTCCAGACTGATGAATCTCTGTGTGTGTGTGTGTGTGTGTGTGTGTGTGTGTATAAAAGTGCACAGGAACACATATGACTGAATAAATAAATAAATGGAAAAGAGACAAATCTCCTGTGCAGAAGAATTCCAAACTCTGTCCTTAAGAGGTAGGGGGGGAGGGTGGGAAGGGATAGACTGGGATTTCAAAATTGTAGACTAG